AAGATTAACTAAGAAGTTATACTCTGGCCGGGACATGAAAAGATTCCACGCGGCGGCTGCGTGATGATTCTCCAAAACTGAACGATCGTTATATAGCACCGCCTAGGCAAATAAGTCAAAGAGAGAAGAGTTCAACTTTTTAAATTGAAAAAAAAAAAAAAAATAGAACCATAAAAATAAAAAAATATGCAATGCTTTTGAAATAGTTCTTTTTTCCCCATGGAAGAAACAAATGTAATCTTGTGACTGCTGACAATGCGACTGTACAATGACTGTTGGTTACTTTGATTGGTTAAATTTCCTTTTCTGTAAGATAAGTTCCTTTCCTTGAAACTTTATTCCAAACTCTTGCAAGTGAGGGGCACTAGCCTGCCTTAATAAATAGTTTTTCTTTAGTTTTTTTTTCTTTAGATTGCTTTGCAAGGTGCAGAAATTTAAACATTAAAAAAATACAAATATATCAATATCCTTAATAGGAGGTAACTCAGTTACTTTCTGAATCTGGTATAAAAATTATCTCTCTTAGTTCAACACATATAACTGTTAAAGAGGAACAGGATCCCTGAGAAGCACACAATTCAAACATTCTCACCCCACAATCAACCACAGGAAATGTCACCCTTTATGTAATAATTGGAGATATACAGTAATATGGTAAGCGTCTACTTGTTTGAAAATCTCTAATAATGCTGAGGGAAGCTGCAAAAAAAAAAAGAAGGTGCCTACACAATGCCTAAAGACCGGCGTGTGAAACAGACTATAGAGGAAAAACATGGCACAAGGACAAAAAGGAAAGACTAAGCACATAAACATAAATATTAATACCGAGGTAAGTAAAAAAGCAGATATGTGCAGGAAAATCTGAACGATAAATTGTGCTGGCAAGAGGATTTTTGCCTATTTTTAGGAAAAATAATTCTGGTGTGTGAAGAATATGTGGAAAGAAGATAAAGTAGGTAGTCAGGAAAAAAAATCAGGATATTTTTACAATATATGGATTCAAGGAAATTTATAGATAGTCTGTAAGAGAGGTTGTAGAAATGGATGTGAGTGGTGTAAAAGACAAAAGGCAAACAGAAAACAAAAAGAGTAAATATGAGACCATATGGCCTCTAGATCCTCTAGAAAGAAGAACAGAGGATCTCAGGATGTCCAGTAACTTGGGTCCAGCTGACTAAATCAAGGGGAAACTGACTGAGTTTAATTGTGTTGATGGAGATGGCTAGATAATTAGTGATTAATTTTTGATTTTGATTTAAATACACACCAACATGGACTTCTTCAAAGTTATTCATTGTCTTTGGAATCTATGTTGGAATCTATGTTGAGGTATAAAATTTTCCTCAAATGAATGAAAAAAGTTTATGTTAAATTTCTACTAACCTATAGATACATCATAAGAATCATAATTGGTCTTTGGAATCTATGTTGGAATCTATGTTGAGGTATAAAATTTTCCTCAAATGAATGAAAAATGTTTATGTTAAATTTCTACTAACCTATAGATACATCATAAGAATCATAATTGGTGTAATACATATATTTCAAAGGAATGGGTTTATATACAAAGAAGCATTACATTCTTAAAAATCCAAGAAAGATTTGGTTCTCTAATCTTTTCAGAAAGGGACTTTTGTGTAGGTTGCTTTTTCTTTGTTAAGGAAGTTCATTAACATGAATTCAAGTAGATGTTCTTCCAAAGAAGAAAATTGAGAAGGGATCCCCATGGGTCACAAAGGTGCATGCCTGCCATTAATATCTTGGAACAAACCATGATATCTTTTCAGAATTAGCACGGTCTCTAAGAACTTTATCCTAGGACTAAGTACGGTTTGGTTTACATTTACTTGGTATCTATTATAAATCCAATGTATACAGAGAAATCTCCAAATTGAATAAGTTCTCTTAGTAAAAATCTAAAGATTTACCTGAGGAGCACTAGTTGCAACCAAGAAAGCATTAGTCCTTCCAGGGTGATCATAGTCATGCATAGCCGCAGCCACGTACAGCGCCATCAACTCCAAGGCTGGGATATTCCCAGACAGACACCCATATTTATCATCTGGCATGTTATACGTTTTTGAGAATACATATCCCATATGTCCATGTGTGAATCCACTGTCTGAATCTGGGAAGAGAAAATGAAAGTAACAGAAATTCTTTAAAAGTATTAAACTCATATCACTTGTCTTCTGTTTTAAAAAACCACTCTTTTGTTCCCATCGTCCACAAGGAAGCACAGGTGTACTTAATACATACCTGAATCACTTGCTGAACCATGATCATTAACCACAGTTGAGAGGCCTGGAATAGGTTGTGTAGTAAGATACCAAACAGCATGCAACACGTCAGTGGCATGGATTCTGTTATGATCTGTAACCGGTGCAAAGAAACACTCAACGATTTGTGAACTTTGGGGTCCAAGGACTAAGACTGCCATCTACTGGATAAACAGTTTAGACCTACCATTGTAATGCCCCAATGAAAGCCTGCCAAACCGTCTAGGACAAATACTCTTTGATTACTCTTCCATAACTCCACAATATTCATAGTAATGAGAAAAAAACAATACAACACTCATCATGCATGCATATGTCTAAAGTGGAAAAATCTGTATCCACAGTCTATCAGAAACCTATCAATACAGGAAACTCACTACGTGAAACAACTGTAATATTTACTCTTGTACTTATTTCCATGATCCTGTGTAGGACTGTACAGAGGACCAGAATAAAAGAAAGAGCCACAACACAGTTCAACTGGATCAGACCAATGGTCTATACCACCTAATATTTCATCTCTGATAAAAGGCACCTAAATATATAATCTGTGAATAGAACATAATATCATTCTTTTGTGATATCAATCTTAAAATACTGAGATAAAAATGAATAATATCTTTTACATGTAGATTACATTCACAAGCAAAATTCAAAGCCAAAATCAATGATGTTCTCTGATCTAGAAACTTGAATTTGGGAATATTGTTCTAGGAAATAACTAAAAAGAAAAATAAAAATCTCTTTGTACAATAATGTAGGGAGCTGAGCTATTTAGAAGAGTAAAAACTATGGAAAACTCACATCCATTAGTCATAATGTCATTATCATGGGAAGGGGATCCTAGTTTATATGTGGAAGTCAGCTTCTTTCAAACCACAATCAAATTCTCAGTGTGCTCTTGGCTCACCTTTTTCTCATGCAATTCTTCCACGTTTTATTCTTGCTTATCTGCTGCTTCATAATGCTTCATTAATTGGTATGCTTTATCCTAAATATATTAACTTTACACATTTTATTTCTACAAACCAAACATGATGGTGTTTCCTTCTCCAATATAATAGGTTATATTTATGAATAATACTCAACAGATGAGGAGAAGAGAAACATAGTATAGAACAAAAAGAAAGACAGGAATATGAGAGAAACACCTGTTCTCTGGTCAGAGGGGAGGAAGCTACAACATGTGTGGAGTTGACGGCACCCAGGTGGTCTATAGGTAGATGGTGCCTATTTTCCCACATTTCTGGCAACTCTTAGGAGTCAGTCTTTAAGTGAACATACGTAGCTAAATCTCAGGTAAACACCCCAGGAATTCAGTTGAAGAGCTTGGGTGTGGATGTGAAAAGATCTCCTCAGAAGAGCTTTAAGAAAGAGAACTCTTAGACTCCTGACCAGGAAATAGCAAATCGTGTGTACCTGTGTCGTTGCTAGATGTGAATACTGAGATCATACAGTACTTCAAAAGATAATTTTATTAAGGTTGGAGTCTATATTCCTGATTATAGACCATTTCAATTGATAAAGTCCATCCCATTGACAGATAATTTATAGACAAGACAATTACACTTTATGTCTATACCTGTACTATGTACAAAGTTGATAAGTTGGTCATACTAGAGTTTTCTGGATTTGGGACATTTCTGGTTTTGTCTCTGCTCTGATATTTATTACCCGTTTACCGTGGGCGAGTTACTTAAAACTCATTTCCTTTTCTTAAAAATAAGATAGATTAAAAAATCTCATTTCTGTATCTTAAAAATGTGAGGACAATAATAGTGCTAATTTCATAGCACGATTGTGAGATTTACAGAACTTTATTACCCGTTTACCGTGGGCGAGTTACTTAAAACTCATTTCCTTTTCTTAAAAATAAGACAGATTAAAAAATCTCATTTCTGTATCTTAAAAATGTGAGGACAATAATAGTGCTAATTTCATAGCACGATTGTGAGATTTACAGAAGAGAATCTATTTTAAAGTCCTGATACACAGTAAACTTGCAATTAATGTAAATATCAAAGACATAAAATAAGTTGTTGCTGCAGAACAAGATGGTAAACTAGTGTAGATTGCTGACTTTCTCCTAAAATCAATGCTGGATTTGTAAGAATAGGATTGAAGAGCTGAAATAAAAGCTCTTCTGAGCCCTTGAGGACGTAGAAGGCAGAGACAATCTGGTATAGGAAGAAAACGACAGTGTGGGTGGCAGGTGCCACTGTTGTTGGGAGAGGACCTGTCAGCTAAGTTCCTTTGTCCTGTTGCAAGCTGGGAGGATTACTACATGCAAGTAATTACCATTGCTATTGCAAGTTAGAGAAACCTACGCATGAGCCCAGCATTTCAAGGGTGGATGGGGGCAGTATTAGGGTGTTGGCTGAGGCTTTTTGGAGGGAGGAACAGACAACATCAACTATACGTGAGCTTGCAGCTCTTGAGCTATGCTATGCCCGTCCAGTCCCTCACCTCAAGGTCCAGGGCCAGAAGACTTTCTAGGTAATTTTTCCAAAGTTTCAATGAAACAATGATTATATGTCAAAATAATTTAGAGCTAAAAATATAGAAATAAGAAAAGCTGCCAACATTTTATGATGCCAGTATAATCTTTATTAGAATCTTTGCCAGTTAAAGACAATATATGACAAAATAATGCTCCTTTTGCTTTTGAGTATTAGTTCAAAAGTACTAAATATAACAACAACAAACTAAATCTAACTGCTTCCTTAAATATAAATGTCTAGTTATGTGTTTGTATGTCTAGGAGAATTACCACGTCATCGATCACTGAAGCAGAATGGAAAACCATCTGCCGTGTAAAGCAGACAATAACATGCTTATTAAGCAAATATTTACTTAGCATACACTATGTGCAAGAATTACGCCAGGTGCTGTTATTGCTGCTGCTCTTGCCATGAACTCTCTGGTGACCCAACACAGGAGCAAAGGCACCCAGGAAAGAAGCTAGCTAGGTCAGCGCAAGGTGCAGTACTGACAAATTTCTCTATGATACATAAGCATGCTCAAAGATTCCTCTTCTTGTTCAGGCTATGGCAGCCAACTGAGAGGGTTAAGAACTGATATCAGAGCTATCCCTATTTAGTCCCCTCAAGCAGCACCAGCAGGGACCAGTGGAAGCCCCAGTGGCACAAGATAAACCAACCATTTTAAAATGGCACCACACAGGCTCAAAAAATTAGATGACCAATGAAGCCAGACCATCAGCCCACAAAACTAGGCCAGAACCTGTGTGCCAATCTAAACAGAGCAGATGTCTGCTTAAAAAAAA